ACGTGGTGCATTCTTAAATATTACACACATTATTTAATTGTATTAGACGATATCATTGATTGAACGATCTAACTAGGCTTACCCTTGCATCGCAATAATACTGAACTAGGCCTAGCTTAGGACTCATGTTTTTGTGGAAAGCTAGATAGCCGTTATGTACCCGACAGTCGGCTGCCTTTATATTTTCAGTTTGCATTCAAAGGGTACATTGCTGCACAGCGAACTGTCGGGGATATAGTACCTTCATATGACTACTCATACGTATACAACAGAAAAAAACGTCGCATGGACTAAGTGAAAAATGGAGATCTAAATGATAGTATTAAAACATTTTAGTTTTATTTTAGGCCTTCTTCAAAATACTGCCTACAGCAGATGATTTTTTTGCCGTAAAACCAAAATAGTTTCATCCATGCCAACATTCCGGTCGGTTAGCATGAGCCCTGACTGAACTCTGCAGAAACTTCACATCGATCTTCGCATCGCGATGTAAAACAAAATGTCGGAAAACTTTTCTTTGACGCATGCGCATTTGCATAAATGTCTACACACACACATACACACTACACATAATAAAAAACATAGGAAATAGCAAGAGTGATTACAATAGTTCCTATTGCATTACATGCATACATGCATAGGAACTAAAAATGACATTTTGCAGAATAGTTTCATGGTGAAATGAAATTGTTGACAGTTGATTGAATTAAACGCAATTTGCGTTTTCCAAAGCGCTCAAACCAGTTACAGCTAGGCTTAACTCAAAACTACCATGATTATGCAGGAATAATTTTTGCTTTCAGTCATTGAGTCGCTATGAACTGAAAATGCACTTTCCTATGCAACGTCGGCTCATATAGCACGCAAGTTATGAGTCTCGATGTACTTCGCTATAACCATTGCAGCCATAGTTTTCACTTATAACGTCGCAGTGAACTTGGTTTTCCTTGTTTGTATTTTCCCGCTTCATTTTTTTCCACTTCGTTAAAATTATATTGGTTTTCCGTGTTTTTTTTTTTTTTTTTTTTTGCTTTATACCTTTTGACGACTTTTGTTTTTGTTGCAATTTCAACTTCATTTCTCATTACAGCAAAGGGGAAAAGCCCATGTTCTGTTGTTCAAACAGACATAGTAAGTCTAGTTGTTGTTATTATTATTATTATTATTATTATTATTATTATTATTATTATTATTATTATTATTTCATATATTATTTATCAACCATAGCAACATTGAAAACATGAATTACGTGGATAAAATTATCACAGAAAATAAACTTATGATTTATAAGATTATTTTAAAACAGAATAAAATAGATAAAATTTTTATTTAAAAGCATGTTTTGCATGGACTTAAGTTTATTTAATATGCTGATTTATTATTATCTTATTAATTAAACTATCGTAAAGTTATTTACATGAATGTAAGTTTATTTAATATTCTGATTAATTATTATCTCATTAATCAAACTATTAAAATTATTATTATTTTTATTATTATTTATTATTACTATATTACTATTATTATTATTATTATTTATATTTTGTTTTATGTACCGATATATTCCCAGGCCTATATAATATATAATGTATATATTTAATAATTTAATTATTAATTATATTATTATTATTATTATTATTATTTTGTTTATATTTTGTTTTATGTATATGCCTAGGCCTATATAATATATAATGTATATATTTAATAATTTAATTAGAAATAATTATAATTAATTGTAAAACATATATAATATAGTGTTAACATAACATAGGCTACGCTAGACCTATTCAATTATTGATACCATAATGTCATCTATACATAAAAACATCGATTTAATTAATTAACAGCAGCTTTTCGCACTGTAGCAGTGCCGATAGAAAACAGCAGCTTTTTTTTTCGCACTGCGTCAGTCCCGATAAAATACAGTAGCTTTTTTCCGCACTGCGGCAGGAGTGCCGATAGCCACTGCCTCCTTGGCTGACCTCCTTGATTACTCAAAACTATAGAAATTATTTCAGTTGCTTCTTTTTGTCATGGTGGGGCAGCGCGCCAGGGTTTCAACTCATGAAAATATTCTTCCCATTGCACATAATAAACATTCATTAATTGTATAACATACAACAGAACACAACATACAACAGAACACACCGTAACTGAATTAGTCAGCAAAATTCTTCAATCTTTAGAAAATTAAAAATATCTTATCTTCCTTGATTTATTGACCCTCAGCTGCTTCTTTAGAAGATAGGCCTACGTGCCTATGGAATGTGGGTGGGAGGTTCCCTTGATTGGTTAAAACCATATATTGTATGCATAACACAAACAATACACAAATATTAAAGATTTTAACTCAGATAGTGAATTTAATAAAGGTGGGGTTCCTTAAGTGTCAGTGTTGGGGCCCTAATATTTCTTAATTTTGTTATTGATTTACACATTGCTTGCATTAAACTTAACGTTATATCCTTCGCCGACGACACAAATATATTATACTACTACAAGGTCCTTTTCATTGGAATAAACTTCCTAATAATATCAAAGAAATAAAAATAAAAAATCCTCATTTAAGAAAGAGTTCGTAATTTTTGTCAAAATGTTAGTAATTGATTTATATTTAACTTGATTCTGCTATTGCTTCTTTTTTGTACTTTTTTCTTTTGTAATTTGCCAAAGGGCCAATAGATTGGTCCTCATCTACGGTATGCCTTGTTTTGTGTAGAAATTATGAAATAAATGTGTGTGAGATGATGATAAGTCTCTCGATGATAGTAGTGATTTCAATATATTTTGGAGTCCTTTCCGACCAGTGGAATATCTTTACTTACATACACTGGAGAAAATTGTCTGATTTCAGTTTGCATCAGCCCAATAATTCGAACATTTATTTTAGGCACAGTTGCAATGACATGCCAATAGCGAACCCAATCACTTTACTACGCAACATGACCCATAAATCTTCATACCAAATCTTGATCCCATTCAGTGATGGACTTCAAGATGAATCTGTTCACCATAAAATATTGAATTCTATTCTAATAAAGGAACAAACAATATTCAAATTCAGTGGCGTAACCCTTATGCGCTTTTTTGTGCGCCCCTGACCCCTAGGCCCGGGCCCTACGGAAGCGTGTGGCACAGCGTGTAAGGCGTTGAACATTGAATCGGAAGGTCGGGGGTTGGAGACGGATGCAAGACACTTTATCTGCATTTGCCTTTCTCCACCCAATAGTAAAAATGGGTACAGTACCTAGAGAAGTTGAATGATTCGAAGTAAAATTAGTAGCCTAGGTGCTGAGCATTCTGCAAAAGAGCTTTTTTAAAAATACCTAACAGCATAATGAATATGTCTCTTACATCGACTGTAAGGACATATAGGCCTATCAGTGCTGGTTAAACAAAGGAAAGGGGGTGGGGAAGTTGGACCTGACACAATAATAGCGATAAAATAGATAATTTTATTCAAACTGTACGTCTGAGAGTGTCATTTCCGGGCTCAAGAAGTGCAATAATAATAATAAATTTTCTTACCTCAGCCTCGTGGAGATTTTCCATCTGTGAAGTCCCTTTCTGTACCCCTCTATTTCATTTATGTCATCTTTAAAGACATTTAGAATACAATGACATAAACATCTTGGGCGGCAGAACTGGGGCCCCACTTTTTGGCCGAAAATATATAATGTCTGCAGATTTTTGTATGATCGTCTCAAAAACACAGACAATGTAATGTAGTATCAGATTAATATTACGGTAATAACTTATAAAACTGTGTTATCTATCTGATTGAAATCACAGATCAACAACAATATTACAATAAAATGGCTTCTGATTTAATGTTTGCAATTTTTATAAACATGACATTGATATTATAAGAGAATTGATGTGAAAATATATGTCTATGCAGATTTTTGTATGATCGGCTAATTTGCAATTCATATTCACATTCATCTTACTATGTTCCCACCTACACCCCACTCTGAACATGATTATAAAACGAGCACATATAAAATCCCACAATGGAACTCACGACCGTGACCCAAAAAGATCCCCAGTCTCAGAAAGTAGGGCTCCAGCCCCATCGTTACACCATTGCCACTATTGTAATAACGCGTATGGTGTACTGTTTAAATGTACGCCTATCAGTAGGCAGTAACGCCTGATAAAAAAAAAAAAGATAGGGAAACTTAAAAAAAAAAAAAAACCAAAAAAAAAAAAAAACCAAACAAACTATTTATCGAGAAAACGTTATTTAAAAAACAAAAATCATAAATGAACCTTCTGCTCAATCTTGATTTCAATTTTGTTTTATTAGGTCTGTGTCGTCAACAGTGGCGTAGAAAAGTTTTTTTCATTGGGGGGGGGGATGATTGGCGTGTTAGCCAGTGTCGTAACAGGCCGGGGGAGGGGCATGGGGAAAACTGCCCCTCCTCTGACGGTTTTTAGCGGGCTGACCAAGCCGTCGTACCGGGCTGGGTAATAAGAGAAAAGAAAGAGGGGAGAGGGAGGGAAAGAGAAAGAAGAAAAGGAAAGAAAAAGAAAAAGAGAAGAGAAAAATAAAGACAAGAAAGGAAGATATCATAATGACCAGACTCACAACACCCTGCAACCCTTCTCCACTTCAAAAACTGTCATAACTCCTTTGATCTATGCTGCCCGATGGCTTAACCACTGGGGGACAAGGGGAAAATATCTATCTTTGAAAAATCTTCCCCACCCCTTTATAAACGCCCTTTTCCCCTGAAAGTGCCTAAAAAACCTCAAATTTCGCGCGCTTCGCGCGCATTTCTTGTTAGCATGGGTCAATTTCCTCTAAAAAATTGCACATTTTAGGGAGTTTTGATCAATTCCAACGAAATTAGAATTAAAAACAATGGGGGGCAAGGAAAAAATATCCATCTTTGGAAAATCTTTCCCCACCACTTGACAAATGCATCCTCTGAAAGTGCCTAAAATTCTTAAATTCTTTGCTCGCATTTCTTGTTACGGTAGGCCAATTTCCTCTATAAATTGCACATTTTAGGGAGTTTTTATCAATTCCGACGAAATTAGAATTAAAAACACAAAAATATTTTGCGCGCTTCACGCGCGTTTTTTAGGGCTTTTTTAGGTTTATCCTTTTAAGTTATTTAAACACATAAGCCTAATAATAGTCCCAAACTCAAGAAAGACAAATTTAAGATAGATCGTTTTAACCAAAAAGAAGGGCCTCAATATG